TTTTACTAGCTGTTCCCAGTGATATCATGGTGTCAGCTGATTAGTAGAATAAACTCTGTTTTCAGTAAGTGGCTGAAATAAGCTGCAGAGTTTCTCAAAAATGATTGATGTGTAAACTTATTAAATGAATATATAAAGGATAGATTCAAAACTGAGCTTCGGGATGATCCCTGGTGATGAATTGTCTAACTCTAAATGCAAATAATGTCAGGTAAACAGTAAAATACTATCACATAGTCTCTGCAACATACAGAAGAAAAAAACGTTAAAAGAGAAATATCTTTCATACGAGGTGTTTTATTGACTGAGATTTTATGAGTCTAACACAAGTGATCTTGTAACAGTTAAAGAAATCAAAGTACTTATCAATATTCATTATTTTTAAATTGTTGGCAAGTACAATATAAATCAATGCCATGTTTCTGCTCATAGATGAAAGTGATTATGTACTTAACTAAGCCATATTTATAAAAAAATCAAAGTCCAACAATGTCAAGAATGAGGTTATATGTTTGATAATTTTTAAGCGACACAATTTTGCACAATATCTTAAGAATGAAAAGAACAGAAGTCAGAAAACTGTAGAGTGAAGAAAGTTGTAGACGATAACTGCACATAGCAATGTTTTATGGTGTTTATAAACTAACTTTTAACCTTGATTTAATGTTCTGTTAATGCTATCCTAGTTCTTAGTATTGAAATGCTCAAAGTAGAAGAAATTTTTACCATTGTCCTAAAACTTAGAAAGGTGTATTTGACTCTTCTTAAGATCCTGTAATGAGAAAGATTGATTTTTCTTAATAGGTGAAATAGTGATTTATTCTCTAATTTTACTTGAAAGACGACTTCATTTTACTACGACAATAGACTCTTTTATCTGTAATTTTTATTGCCAATTAAATTTACGGATTATAAACTTTAATTTTTCATTATTTTCACAGTAGAATGTTTATTGCTAGGGCTGCTACAAAAAAATCCCTGAAATTTTAAGATGGTAGAACATTTTACATTTTGGGAAAATTAAATATTTTTGAAAATGGATGTTACTGATATATGACTGAGTTTATGTAATCGATACTACTAAATGTTGCACCTAATTTTTGAAAATGATATTTTAAAATATATTTTAATTTTATAAACAAGAGGAGTAGAATAGAGATGGATTTTTTTATTGCTAAAAATAAAAATTCAATAGTACCCAAGTTTTCTTTTGAATAAAGGAAGAGCTTCAAACTTTGGAGATTTATGTTATCTTTTTCTTTCTATTAATATTAGAAAATCCTTAGTAATTAAGATAGGATGGATCAATTTAGCTAATTATGAGCTCAGTGCATTGAGACTTCAAGGTCAGATAATATGAAATTATCAGTTTGTGCCTCCAGCCCATTATGGCTCCAATCCAGTGGGAGTAGCACTTGTGTCTTTCTTCCACATGGTTATTTGGAGTAGCAAGAACTTTATGCACTGTATTTCTAGCATGCCTGAGAAAGCAGCAAGAGCAATCACTAGACTGCAGACAGGAAGTTGCATTTGATTCACCTTCTGAGGTCATGGCCCAGCAGAGAAAGAGCTTAAACCAGTAAGTGGTGATGCATATCTTCAATAGAGGAGAGGACACTTGATACCTTGTTTTCTCACCATCCAGACTCACAGGACAGTTTGTGTAGATAGACAGGCAGATCCCAATATACAAAATTTCTGCTTTGAGGTGAGATGCATGAAGCTTATCCTTTGGATTGGTTTGAGGTCCCAGATAACTCAGTCTGAGTTTTGGTTTTCTCACACACTTGTATATGCTGTAAATGTCTTGCCAACAGAAATATAAAATGAGTTTCTCTACAGTGTTTCCTGAGCATTTCAAGAACATTATGAAGGGAAGAAAGAGGAAAAAGAGAAAGGGGAAGAAGAAGAGTAGGTAGAAGTAGAGGAGGAGGGGAAAGACAATGACAATGATCATAAGGTTGTGAACCATACTTGAGGGATTTCTGAGTGCTGCACTCTGAGCTATGTGTTCTCTGTAGGGTGTTTGATTCAATTCCATTGGCACAGACTTCCCCAAGACATACATGTCTATTAAAAGGCTATTAAATCGAACACCACTCAGCCATAAAGAACACAAAATTAGAGTCATTCATAGGAAAATGACCTTAAGAGGTCATACTCTTAAGTGAATTAAATAAGTCACACATGTGTAAGTACTGAAGAGTTTCTCTTGTGTGAAAAACTATAATTGTAAATAATATCCTAATGCTATAATTGATAATGTGAAATAGGAAAAATAGGGCTAAAGAAAAAAACTGTGAAAAATTTAAAAAAGAAATAAAGTTTTTGTAAATAATAAGGGAGGAGGGGATGAAGGGAGCCAGGGGTAAGGGGAAAAATAAGAACCAAGACCTGTCATATAAACATACAAGATCACAATGATGAATGTAACTGTAATATATACTGCAAGTACCAATAAACTCAATGAAGTAAAAAAAAATGTATATATAAAAAGTAGCTATATATATATATATATATATATTTGAGGTTTTATTTTAAAAAAGAGATAAGCATTTTTATATAAATGTTATTGAATTGGTAGGCCAAAAGGAATGAAGCTTGAGTTGGTCACTCTGAATACAGACAGAGCATCCTGTCGGGAGAAACCTGACATGCTGTCCCCTTCACCACCCAGTAAGACATGTCACTTCTCTGTCGCCCTGGAAAGAGAGTTTTTGTTCACTATGCTCTCTCTCCTTTGAAGGTTTCTTGTAGATGAAGAGACACAGCAGTCGTTGGCACCTGCTGCAGCCAATATAGGAAGGACAGGGTTAGATCACAGCAAGTGTCTAGAAACAGGGGACACAGAATGCACCATAATCCTCTCCAGAATTACCTTGAAGCTGTCCACATCCTTCTGCATTTCAATAATCATCCTTCTCAATCTCAAAAGGAAGCATAGGCAGGAGTGAATTACATCCCCAATCAGGAATCTGGCCAGGGTTTTAAAGATGCTCCCTATATGTACCTGCAGTTTAAATACCTGGACTTCTGTTTAAAGCTTTCTGATGGCTGTGAAACAATTAATAAGATGGGAACTGATGGTGTAAATATTAATTTCATGTTCTGTAATATCTCTGTGGTGTGGAACAGAAATGGCTAGTATCTGTGACACTGCTAGTATCTCAGAGGATTAGTATTGTCCTCCAGGTCAATTTGGAGAGGACACTACAGACTTGAGGATGGAATCAATTGGTATATCTACTTTCTACTTAATTAATAAATGATAAACATAAAGTAAAGGCAAAATACAATTTCAGCATTGTAATTAATAATACCAATAATCTTCATAACTTTCAACTAAAATATCCTGTTACTCTAACTCCTGTTTTTCTATTTGTCCTTAATGTAAATGTTCAGTATATACTTGGAGAGGAATGAGCTAGTTTCACTCATTTCCATTTTATTTGTTATTTTTATTGATACATATTTGATACATAATGATCATAATCCTCATGTGGAGTTAGTGCATGTATAGCATATCTTAAAACGTGTTCACCCATGCACCTCCCAACCTTCATTTCTTTGTATCCACTCCTTTTAGAAAAATCTTATTACCTCAGAGTCTATACATTGTGTAGGTGTATACCTAGATACACAGAGGAATCATCAAAGGTAAAGACTTTTGCTGAACACTAAAAAAAAACACAATTCCAGCACTTGGTATGCTCCCACTGCAGTTTCATCTTTCTGCAGGACTATCTGAAAGATTAGGGGACCAGAAATAAGAGCTCTTTTCTGGCTTTAGCCTGGACAATTGCATCTTAAAACCTCCTTTAACAGCAGCTACTATACTTGATACTTCAAACTCCGGAGATTTCATGAAGGCAGAAAGACAAGTTTATCAAGTGACTTTTATACTTGAGTTGATTCACTTCTCAAGGTCACATAATTCCAGGCTTCTCTGGCTGTGACAATTATTTTCCTTACTAAGCATATCATTTCCATACTGATGGAAGTACTAATTTAAAATGTGAGATCATGAGGAATATAAGTTCCAGGTACATTTTACATTTCTCACATGTTGTGAAGATGAGCACTATTCTCCATCTCACTGAGCAGCACGACTAGAGAGAGGTGGAGAGATTCAGTATATCCTGCATATAGTAGCGCATCAGCAATCTTAAATTAATATTTTGATTTCCTGTCTCCTATTCCAGGGGATTGTCTCCTGTAGTAGAACCAAATGCAAATATTATTCTCTACAAAATTGAAATATCTGGGTTGCTTGTCATGCAAGGATTGTTATTAGATATTCATCAGTGATGAATTTTTATTGGTATATTTTAGGTGTACAACAGAGTTGCACTTATCATTGGTATCTTGAACCTTTACATGCCATACCTTGGTTTTTATATTTTCCCCATTCTCTTGTCCACCCTTCACCCTCTACACCCTTCCCTATTTATAAAGACTTTGTTTCCAATATTTTCCTTTTGTGATATTTTTTTCTTTCCCTTCTAATCTTTTCCTACCCCTCCCACTTACCCTAAACCCTTAGACCTTTTTGTCCTACTACAAAATATCAACTATGCATTTTGATCCTTATTTACACTTTTAGATTTTCACACCAGAGAAACTATACAGTATTTACACTTGTTTTTCCTACTAATTTCAATTAAGAGTCTGGTCTCAATGTGTTTCAGTGATGTTTTTGACATAACACATTAACAGCAATCAATTATATGTGATTAGCACATATTATTCATCAAGGCAATTGATATATGTGACTTATAATTACATGAAACATACACCAACTCATGGAACTCAAATAAGCATCTCCCATCCCCATATTATCTGAAAATATTGCAGAAGAATTTTGGAAAGACTGTTGTAATACTAAACCCACTAAATGACATTTCTCTCTCATGCAATTCTTTGCATCAATTGAAGCATTCGAATTCAATGTATGAGCTTCACAGAGGGATTTAATACTATGTCACTGTCACCTGCGACATTATAGTGGGATTAGATATTACACTGTGTGTTACTTAGCTTAGCTTTAAGGGCATTGTTGGTAAGCTTTAAAGCAGAGTCTGTGGATGTACAAATCAGTACTGACATGTATATATTGACATGGAAATGCAGCCACACCTATGCAGGAATTCTTTTGGTAACAGGTGACCAGGAAGGTAGCATAACACAAATACAGAAAGAACACAAATATCATCTGTGAGAAGACAAATTCCTGTAAAACACTAGTTCCAAAGCCTGCGTTTTTAAGTGTTTATTTTAAATAATTGCATTGGGTGTATTGACCACACTTCAATATAATACTAATGGCTCATTTTCTAAATATCAGGAAGTATTGCAAGGCAGTGGTTTCTTACCTCAGTATAAGAAATGGCCACCAAGAACTTGATATATATATATAGCCACTCTGAAAACAATTAGGTTTGATCTGAAGAGAGGCTATTTGGATGCTTCAAGTTATTCATAGGTAAATTTTGCTAAATTCAACAGAGAACACTGTTGTATGCTATTTGAGAACATTTTGAACATTTTTACAATAGCAATAGAGGCTAGATTATTATTGCTCTCATTTCACAAATTAGAATACTGAAAGATATGTTTATAGATTTTATTGCACTTTTTCTTTTGCATGTATTATCGCCTTGATGTCACTGAGACAGGAGGATTGTAATTCATGTACTTGGAAATATTGACGTAAAAATCTATTAAATGACATAAGACGCACAGGTTTTGAATGGAGGCTCTAATAAATTCCTCAACAATTCACAAAAGAATTTCTGACTTCTAAAATGTCAAAAGTTTCTAGTCTATATATTTATTATGGAATACAGAAGCAAAATAAAGAACTGTCTTCCTCAGAGAATATTTCACTGAGAAATAAAACGTTGATACAAATACACAGCAAAAAATCTAGAAGTCCTTTAGCAGTGGATTATTTTTATACATACATTGGAGTGGTGTGCATTTAAGTCTTCTTGGGGGTCAGTGATTATATTGATCATGAACATTTAACATTAATGTAACAAAACCTACATTCCTCAAAATTAAGCATAAAGTTACATATTGAATCATTTGTATAATTTCAAAGTTCAAGCAAAATTGAACTAAGGAGCTCAGCCATAAAGGAAGGAAATAAAGAAAAACACACAAGAAGACAAAAGCACTCAACACCTAATATTTTCTGATTATGAATTATTAATTTTATTTTAGTGCTTGGACACAAACTTCTTGTACATTGTCTTAAATATTCTAAGCCAATGATGTGTATCATGGTTTGAGTATTTAGTTTCTATTTCCATTTTCCAACTCTGTTTTCTTTTCAAAAGGTGTCTGCATGAAACGGAGCCACAAAATTTTATACGAGTATCAGAATTCCGACTCATGAAACTCGTAGAGGATCCAGACCAGCAGCCCATCCTCTTAGGGCTCTTCCTGTCCATGTACCTGGTCACAGTTTTCGGGAACCTGCTCATCACCCTGACTATCATCTTTGACTCCCACCTCCACACCCCCATGTACTTCTTCCTCTCCAACCTGTCCTTGGCTGACATCTGTTTCATTTCCACCACGGTCCCCAAGATGATTGCCAACATCCTAACTCGCAGCACAGTCATCTCCTATGTGGGCTGCCTGACCCAGATGTCTCTTTTACTGTTTTTTGGATGTATGGATGACATGCTTCTGACTGTGATGGCCTTTGACAGGTTTGTGGCCATCTGTCACCCCTTACATTACCATGTCATCATGAACTTCCACCTCTGTCTCTGCTTTGTTCTGGTGTCTTTTTTGTTTAGCATTTTGGAATCTCAGGTACACAATTTAATTGCCTTACAATTCCCTTATTTTAAAGATGTGGAAATTTCTAATTTCTTCTGTGACCCTTCTCATGTCCTTAGTCTTTCATGCTCAAATAGTGTTACTAAAAATATAGTCATGTATTTTATTGGTGCTATCTATGGTCTCACTCCTGTCACAGTGATCATTTTGTCTTACTATAAAATTATTTCTTCTATTCTGGAAATCACTTCATCACATGGAAAGTATAAAGCATTTTCCACCTGTACATCTCACTTATCAGTCCTTTGCTTATTTTATGGGACTGGAATTGCAGAATACCTTGAATCCTTTGTATCTAGTTCTAGAAAAAGTGCAGTAGTCTCATTAATGTGTACAGTAGTCACCCCTATGTTGAACCCATACATTTACAGCCTAAGGAATAGGGACATTAAAAATGCTCTTCAGAGGCTGTGGAGCAGAACTGGAAAATCTCATCATGTCTTCCATCCATCCTGTAGTTTGCATTGAAACAAAATAAACATCTTGTTCTGCAAGTGTCACCTTTTTGTTCACAATTTTCTTATGGCTCCATGGCTTTCAATCCACTATATGAATCATATGTACATATTGATCCCTTCCTTTCTTTCTTTCTTTCTTTCTTTCTTTCTTTCTTTCTTTCTTTCTTTCTTTCTTGTTCCTTCCTTCCTTCATTTTCCCTTCCTTCCTCTTTCCTTCATTCCTTCTTTCTTTCCTTCTTTTGCCTTCTCTCCCCCCATTTTTCTATCTCTCCCCCCATCTCCTTTAGCCAGTATTGGAGATTGAACTTAATGCCTTGGCACTGAGATACACCCTCAGACTTTTTAAATTTATTTTTTGAGACAAAGGCTTTATCAGTTGCTAAGTTGCACATGCTGAACTCAAACTTGTGATCCTCCTGCCTCATCTTCTCAGAGTGGTTGCACTGCAGGTATGTGCCATGATTTGTTTAATGTTATGAAGTATATAATTTAGAATCCAAACATCAAAAACATCATGAACAAATCAGTGTCTGCAAATTTAGGGCATCCAACCTGACCACCCTGTAAAGTACTGAGATGTATTTAACACAAACACACACACACACATACACACACACACACACACACACACACACGTAAATTGTTCATACATATATATATATATATCATACTATATCTCTTTTTATACTTCAATTATGTTTTCTTCAGAAACTCTACCTCAGATATTTATTCAGACATGTTCTATCTGGAGGCCTTATCACTAGTATCATGCCAGGTTTAAGTGAGTCCTTCACAAAGAAGTAGCAATAAAGCAAACAAACTGCTTTCAGCAAACACAGGCTATTTCTCAGTAAAGAGAAAAGTCTCCCCAGTGAGGAAAAGTCCAGTTCTTGTCTACACACGTGTTAACTGTCCTTTGACTAAATCATAAATATTTCATCCCAAAATTCTTAGCCCTTTCTGCATATAAATAAGCCTAACTCCTTTCTCAGTTAGCTGCTAATATATCTCTCTAAATAAGAGACTATCCAACCAAGGATGAAATCTCCTACAGCCAGCAGCTGCTATTTCTCTCTTCCAGTCTCAGCCCAGCCACACAGGATTGCAACAGACTCAGTAAACTCAGCTTTCCCTAGCTAGATGCAATAATTTATCCCTATTTTAGCCCTTAGAATAAGCTTTTCTTAAAAAACAAAATACCCTCTTTCCCAAAAGAGATTTCACATATGTGATTTTTAACAACTGGTTTTTAAGATTGGCTTTAAGTGGAAGCACCCAAGGGAATTAAAATACACATACTTTCAAAATTCCATTTGAGATGTATCTTTAGCCCTTAGAATAAGCTTTTCTTAAAAAACAAAATACCTGCTTTCCCAAAAGAGATTTCACATATGTGATTTTTAACAACTGGTTTTTAAGGTTGGCTTTAAGTGGAAGCACCCAAGGGAATTAAAATACACATACTTTCAAAATTCCATTTGAGATGTATCTTGAACATGCACCAAATACTCACAAAGAATGTAATCATTATGTGTCATAAACATGAACTAAAATAATCAAGATAAAATTAATACTAAGATGAAAATAGGGAAAGAGGATTTAAGAGTTGGAGGGAAGGACATAGGTGGGGAGTGTAAAGGGATTTAAAAAGTATAAAGCTGAGGTACAGCTGGTAAAATTTTTTTCCCACATTGTAGATTGTCTCTTAGTTCTCCTAATGGTTTCTTTTGAAGTACAGAAGCTTTTTAGTAAGATGAGATCCCAGTTGTTGATTCTTTCTGCTAGTTCCCGTGCTACTGAGGATTTGTTCATAAAGTCTTTTCCTATACCAATGTCTTCCAGAGTTCTGCCTAACTTACCTTCCAGCAAGTTTAATGTTTCTCTTTTAATATTTAGATCTTTAATCCATTTGGATTTTAATTTAGTGCATGGCGAAAGATAAGGGTCTAATTTTAATCTGTGACAGGTTGATATCCAGTTTTTCCAACACCATTTATTAAAGAGGCTATCTTTCCTCCACTGAGGATGGTGAGCTCCTTTGTCGAAGATGAGGTAGCTGAGTACATCTGCATTTGTTTTTGTGTCTTCCAGTCTGTTCCATTGATCCTCAGGCCTATTTCTTTGCCAGTACCATGCTGATTTTATCACAGTGGCTTTGTAGTATAGTTTCAAATTGGGAATTGTTACACCTGGTGCCATGTGACTGTTGCCTATAATGGCTTTTGCTATTCTAGGTCTCTTGTGGTTCCAAATGAATTTTTGGATTCTTTTTTCTAGTTCTGTGAAATATAGTGTTGGAATTTCAATTGGCATTGCATTGAATGTATATAGCAGTTTTGGTAGTATGGCCATTTTCACTATGTTGATTCTTCCTACCCAGGAGCAGGGGATATCTTTCCATTTTTTTATATCCTCTTCGATTTCTTTTTTCAGAGTGCTGTAGTTTTCAGTGTAGAGATCTTTTGTTTCTTTTGTTAGATTGATTCCTAGATACTTCATTTTTTTGGATGCTATTGTAAAAGGAATTTTTTCCCTTATTTCTCTTTCTGTCTGTCTGTTATTTGTGTATAGAAAGGCTATTGATTTTTGGGTATTCACCTTGTATCCAGATACTTTACTGAATCTGTCAATTAAGTCTAGAAGTTTTTTGGTGGAGTTTTTTGGATCTTCAATGTAGAGTATCATATCATCAGCAAATAATGATAGTTTAACTTCTTCCTTTCCTATCTTTATTGCTTTAATTTCTTTCTCTTGTCTAATTGCTGTGGCTAATGTTTCCAGAACTATATTGAAGAGAAGTGATGATAGTGGGCATCCTTGTCTTGTTCCTGATATTAGCATGAAGGTTTTCAGTTTTTGGCCGTTCAATATGATGTTGACTGATGGCTTTTCATAAATAGCCTTTATGAAATTGAGGTATAGGCTATCTATTACAATTTTTTGCAGGGTTTTTATCATGAATGGGTGTTGAATTTTATCAAATTCTTTTTCTGCATCTATTGAAAGGATCATATGGTTTTTGTCCTTGACTTTGTTAATATAATGTATTACATTCACTGACTTTCATATGTTGAACCACCCTTGCATTTCTGGAATAAATCCGACTTGGTCATGATGGATGAATCCCTAAATGTACCAATAAACTCAATAAAATTAAAAAAAAAGAAAAAAAATGTATAAAGCTGTGTTATGTACTTGTACCCACCCCCTAAAATGAATGTAAACTTCGTGTACTGTAGAGATGTGCTGATAAAATAAAATGCTGATACTTCTTTTTTTTTTTTTACCAGAGGTTTCCTTTTACAAAGATTTGTCTACATGTTAAGTATTTTAAAAGGTTCATACACTTCTTAAAGGCATCAATCTTGATTGTGTGAGTTAGAAATGATCTTATCGTAATAAGAGGTGAGGTGGGTTTTGAAAAATATACCATCTTAATATGTATGGCCTTGAATGTTTCGGAGTTGTTATTTTTGGGTTATTACCTCCTGCTGTCTTGCCAATCTCCTTTTTTCTTTCATTGAGTTTATTGGTACTTTTTAAATATACATTTCTTCCCCATACCCCTGACATCCCTTCATCCCCTTCCCTCTCCCCAGTTTACAAATATTTGATTCCATTTTTCCTTTTCTAATGTTTATCTTTTGACTATTAGATTATTTTCACTACTCCCTTCTCGTTCACTTGGGCAGAAGGGTTTTAAAGGCTGTCTCTGTCCTGTCTCTTTGACCACATTGTTCCCTCTTTCCATTGGCCCTGTGGTAATTATCCAATTAGTTTATCTTCTTGTATTCTTTCCCTTGGATAATTAGTTTTGTTTGCATTTAGTGATCAAAGCCTGAGTGATAAATTGCAGCATGGAAGAAAAATATATGCTGTGAGTTTTCAGCAATTGTAATTCAGTGCTACCTTGGTTCACAGATTTAATTTGCTTCTGGGGAAGATGGCTGTGGTCATGTTTTCACTTGATGTGCAGTTCATGAACAGAAGCAAATTCTGAAGAATGCTTCTATTTTAGAGCAAAATTTTTCATGAACAGAAACATTCATGAACCAAAGTGTTACTGTATTTCAAAATGTTCCTGGGAAATGAAGCTGGTTTTAATCATATATCTGTGCTGAGGTGTCTGGCGAAGTTAATGGTGTCCTTACAGTTCCTGTTGTAGTACGGCTTTAGTGGTGTCTGAAAGTTATTAACAGTTGTATGACAGATATATTGAACTTTTACCTATTTTACTTTATATAACACCAATGTCCCTGTCACCAACCACAGTTAGGTTTTTTTTCACCCAATTAATAATCAAAGTTTCGGTAAGTGAGATAGTAAGGCTGTATTCTGATTTCACCTGGCAGCCTCTCCCCACATGAAAAGCTGTCCTTTTTCCTCTTTCACTTAATGATTTAGTAGACATTCATGATATATTAATAACTTGAATAGGGAATATTTTTATATTTCATGGCAGCCACTGAAAGTGGTAGAACAAACTTTGATTAGAATAATGAATACAGGTAGTAGAAGGAATGGGACATTTTTAGGCCCTTCAACAAGTATATATTGAATAGTTTTATATGTTTTAAAATGATATTTATATTTTAAGAAAAAATAAAGCAAATTTTCATTATCAAATAAAAAGAATAGCAATAGTCATCACAAAGGGTATCATTATATTCAAAGTAGTTTATACAAAATGTAAAGCCAAAAGATTGTCACAAAAAAGAAACAAACATATATATTAACTCTTAACAAAGAATTTTCGATAGCTTCTAACTCTCATATAGAGCAGCAAATGAAATGCAGCAGAACATTTCTTCCTAAGGGATGAAATGATTATGTGCCTTGAGTAAGATAAACATTTTCATTATTAATTATATTTTTTATTCTTACATTAAAGGAATTGATTTTACATGTGCATTTTGGAATTCACATGTAAGCTATTACAAACTGTATGACTTTGTCAATTATATATAATGTGATTTTATTTAACTGGTACATATCTGTGGTACTCTAATA